CCCTGGGAGCCCCACAGCCTGCGGAGGCAAGAAACTGCTCAACAAGTGTGCTGCCTCGGCCGCGGAGGAGAGCGGGTCCGGCAAGAAGGAGAAGGTAAGGCGCCCCTGGGCCCCTTCCAGGGCCACTGTGCCCGTGGGGAAACTGAGGCACTGCCTCGGTTTCCAGTCCCTACATCCACAGCTTCTTGCTAGGACCCTGGGGTCAGGGCTCCCACGTCCCTTCCCGATGCGCCCCCAGAACGTCCCCTCTCTGAGCCCACAGCCAGGTGCCCGCTTCGGAAGTTGCCTGACGAGAAAGCCCCGCCCGGCCTTGCCCAAGAAAGAGACACCCAGCCAGCCCTTCCCGCCCCCGAGGAGGAGTAAAGTCAGAGTCAGAGCTGTCCCGGACTTAAAAAGAGCGTTTCCTCTTGTCTATCTTTACTCTTCCCCTACTCCCCCAGTCTATTGATGGGAAGCCGGTCCAGAGCTGGGGAGGGACTCGCCCCGTCTTACGCTGCATTCCTGGCGGTAGATCCGGACCGGCTGTCTCTAAAAGTGCATATGTAAATCCCACTGAACGCCCAGCGCTGCCCCACCCCCGGAGCCAAATGCGGGCTATCTTTTGTGCTGGATCCAGCTTTTCCGGGAGGGGGTCCGCCCTTCGGCTCCGCTGATAGGAGACCCACCCCTCCAATCCTCACCTTCCTTCCTGACCCTACTTTCTACCCCACACTGTCCCAGGGGTGAGGGGGACAACTCTGTGACAACCCTCCGCCTTACATATCAGGCCATCTTGAGTCCCCCTTTGAAGCAGGCCAGTTAATTACAGCCAGACTGGGCCCTCTCCTCCCCTTCACACTTTTGTGAGCCTCCCTTTCCCCATAAAATAATATTTGTTCCATCTTCTGGTGGAGTGCAGTGTTTTGATGACATCTGAGGCCCAGTGTCCTGCTGCGGCTGTCAGGCGGCTGTCCCTCTTGTAAACTTTTGCCCAGGCAGGGTAGGGGGAGGCTGATAAAGAGTGTGAGTTCCTTTTAGGACTGGATGTCCAGCCAGGTGGGAGACAGGCTCCTACCTGCCAGCTGGTGCTTGGAAATGGATCTTTTTTGTTTTCCTGTGGGGAGGAGTCAGGGGTTGCCCACCTTTAACTTTTCTGCCTGGCTTTCTCTCTCTGAGGTCCCAGGTCCCCAGAGCATCCCTTTCCCAATTGGTCTGCTGAAGACAGCATGGGCAGTCTGTGGTGGACCCCACCTCTCCCTGGGATCAGTTTGGGACCACACCTCAGAAGCATGGACTTTGGGCTTCCTAAGCACCCAGATGTCTCAACTAGATGACAAGAAGCTAGTAGCCAGGTGGCCACCCAGCTGCTGCTTTGGGGAAGGCGAGATCTCTCTGTGAGTCTCCGGGATCGTGGGCTTGTAGTTGAACTGTAAGGGGAACAGCAAAGAGGCTCCCTACCACCTTATGCATGGTCCAGGCTTATCTAGGTGCTGACCTGGGAGAACCTAAAATTCCTGGGTATGGAAGGTGCCAGGAAGGCCCAGCCTAGCTATCAGGAGAGTCACAGCCAAAGGTGCTGGACTCCCTGAATCCGCCTTGTTACTCCATGGCCACCTGCCAGGTAGGCAAATCTCCTTTCTCTCCCGCTGCTTGTCCAAGAAAGAGACACCCAGCCAGCCCTTCCCGCCCCCGAGGAGGAGTAAAGTCAGAGTCAGAGCTGTCCCGGACTTAAAAAGAGCGTTTCCTAAAGTCTTCCTTTATGGCTTTCAAACTTTAGTAAACATTTTTTCCTACTTACAATTAAGACTATGTCAAATACTGAGGAATAATGCTTTATAGCTGGAATGTCAAGTGTGTTTAAGACTTGGCTTCGTTCTGCCATCAATTATTTCCCATGGGTCTTCTTGTGCCCTCTGTTGCTCAGTGCTGAAGCGGCCCCTCTAGTTGAATGCTGTGTCCTAGGCTGAAGTGTACATGATGACTGTTGTGATGGGGCTTTGTGTTACCTGGGGCTGAAGGGGAGGGGTGGTCAGGGAGGGCCTTTATCATGGGGGAGGGGTGCTGCAGAGGAAAGCCTGGTGGTTCAGGGAGCTGCAGGTAAAGTTCCTGTAGCTGGAATTGAGGTGAGAGTTTGGCAGGGCCCCAGTGGGACGGCAGTGCTGGGGTCAGGGAGGTTAAGCACAGTGAGGGCCAAGGAATGGATTTAGCTGCTAAGTGATGTGAGCAGATATAATTTTTTTGGAAAAGATCTCTGGGCTGCATTTCACCTCTTGGGTTGTGACTTCGAGCCCTTTGGTCTTTTGAGAAGTTGTTCCCATTCCATATGCTGAGGAATTGAGGCTACCAGATATTTTTTCTATTGAGGAGGAGGGGAACAGCCAGGGAGGGTCACACTAGACAGTGGTTCTCAAATCATCACCTGGAGGGCTGGTCAAAACACAAATTGCTTGGATCCACCTCCCACAGTGACTGGTGCACCGAGCCTGGTGTGGGGCCTGAGGATGTGCATTTCTGACAAGTTCCCAGGTGATCTTTTGCTGCTGATCCTCATCCCACTTTGAGAACCACTAATGCAACAGTAGCCTCTCCTTAACCCTCCCTCGGGGTCTTCTGGTCGGAGCTGTTTTGGGGATGTAGAGATGCCGGATGCCCTCTGTGTGGGGCTGCCTCCTAATCTGGGGCCAGCATCCAGCCTGGTCAGGCAGCCAGGAGGCAGCCTGGTTTTCACATTATTTTTAGCCAGACAGCTTTTGGAGGCCAGGCATGCTGTAGATCCAGCCCTGAACACCCCAGAGCCTTCCATCTGCCCCTCATCCATGGTTCCAGGAACACCTACTTCTAGCACCCTGCTTAATCTCAGGCCCAGCTTCCTTTTATCAGTTGGACAAGAACCTATAGGGTTGTTGAATGCCCCCCTGTCTGCCAGGCCTGGTGTTTGTTTTTAACATTAGACCTGAGTTGAGAGTTACTGTGTATGGCATGGAGTAGAAGCTGTCAGTCCACAGATCCTCCCTTCAATGCTTCTAGTGGCACGCCACTATAGTTTATTCTCCTCCTCCTCCCCCCCGCCTCCCTCAGTATCTGTGCCTCCCTCTGTCACACACTTAGGCATCCTCCTATTCTCCCAGGTGAGTCCTGGGGCACACACACACCTGGTCACCACCACCACTAGCATCATGGGCATTTTCCCTTTTAGAATCATGTGGAAGAAGGACTGTGTTTTCAATGTAACCAGCTTTTACCCAGCACTTCGAATGTGCTCAGAGATCTCTTGGTACCAGGGTGAGTTAGGAGGGGAGGGAAGAAAGGCTGCAGAAGACTTGTCAGTAATCTCTGGCCTAAGCCGCTGGAGGAGACTGACACACTGTCTCTTCATCTTTTGTCTCCCAGTGTTTTCGTCTTGGGAAATTTAACAAGGTCTTCACCTAGGAGGCAACTTTGAGCTGAACCTAGAGGTGGAAGGGGAATTTCATTGCAAAGAAAGGGGTGACTGCAGCCTGCAGGAGCACTAGTGTGTCAGTGCTGTGTGTGTACACGTGAATATGAAAGTGTGTCCCTATGTACGTGTGTGGTTATATATGTGTGTGTACATGTAAAACCTCAGGGAGGAGCTTCTTGGAAACCAGAGCTTTTTTGCAGTGGGCCTCACTTGGGGAATGAAAGATGACAACATGAGAGAGGTGGGGGCCTGAGTTTGTACCCTCCTCCACCCCAGGGGAGTCCTTGAAGACTGTTGAGCCAGGAATGGGATGGATTTAGTCAGAGCCATGGTTGGGGAGCATCCCAGGCTATATAAACAGCTGCCACAATCTGGGGAAGTTGGGGTCAGAGTTAGAGGACAATTGCCGTATAGTCCAGGGGAGAGACAGTGAGGACCTGAGCTCTTGGGAAGAGAGAACAAACCTTTAGTAGGTGGAAATATTATTCCTTCAGGTTGTCTGTGTTGAAAAATGATAATAGCCCGGCTTGATCCCCAGTGTGGGGTGTGGAGGAGGCAGCCAATCAGTGGTTCTCATCATTGATGTTTCTATCTCTCTCTCCCTTTCTCTTCCTCTCTGATATCAATAAAAATATATATTTTTTAAAAAGATGATAAAAGAGGCCAGTAACTTGGTAGTTCTTTTGGGCAGCCAAGCAGTTCTCATCCAGTTGTTTTCTGCTGAAGTCTTGTTTCTTTTATCATTAAGTAAATGTTTCCACCACAGCTGAAAAAGTCAAGACGCATCATGACATCAGTTTTAAATACATGCTAATGCATACCGACACTTTATATTTTGTCGGCATCCACAGAGTTGAGTTAAATAACATGTTTCCTAAGGAATAAATAGTATCGTGTCTAACCTTTTTTTTTTTTCTTAAGAGAAAAAACCACACATTTAGCAAACAGTTTCTGAGCAGCCTGCTAGGCAGGGGGACGTCAGAGAAAATAAATGGTGGCCAGCTTTCAAAGACGGAAGCATCTCAGTTTGTAGTTGAAGACGCTCAGTTTGCAGCTTCTCAGGGACTAGCCTGGGGGAGAGATACAGCTAATGAGACAGTATCACGACCCAAGGAATGCTAGTGTGTGCATAGGGCTAGGAGGGCTCAACTCTGTCTGGGAAGTCAAAGAAGGCTTTCAGGAGGAGGCACCATTTGAGCAGACTCTGGAAGGATGAGTGGGAATTCCCCAGGCAGGGACGTGAAGAGGAAGGCTCTCCATGCAGAAGGGATAGAACAGCTGTGCTCAGGCCTGAAGGCTTGGGAGAGAATGGTTGGAGGCTCAGCAGGGCAGAAGTGGTGGGGGATGGCAGAGGGAGGTTGGAGCCACAAAGGGAAGAGACTGTCTCGTGTGCCTTGCTGGGAAGTTGTGACTTGTCTTTTGGTCCTTTTCACATAAAATCATTGATGTGTGGCTTGATTGACACCAGGGCAAACATGAGTTGTCAAGTCAGTTCCAGTTGGTTAATGGTCACAATCTCCAGTTCTAAGAAAGTAATTGACTGAAAAGGTTAGAGCCATACTTGGTAGTTGTGGTTTGGCTTGGGATACTTTCTCCTTTGAAGTCCTATCCTTTAAAAGTAATGTGAGAGAAATGCCTGCATATCAAGTCCAGTTTTTCCATTGATTTCCCAGAAG